GGCGGCGACTCACTTTGCCCCGGTGGGGAACAGATACTGATATCCCTGATGCAGGAAAGCCATGATGAGCTCCTCTGTCCTCAAACTCTCAGACAAACTAACTTCTGGTCATGCTAAGCCGCGCCCTGCCTGCCGTGTGATCAGCAGTCGCCGCGGCAACGGCGCCCACAATCAATCACTGCGAGTGCTGTTGCCATGGCGTCATGTGGTTTCCCCTCTTCCTGTTTATATATAATTATTAATTTTTTCCCTCATCTCCTGCCCCGCGGAGCGGTCGCCAGCGTGGAGATGAGTCACAACCTTGCTGGATGGGAACCGCTACTGTTGGCGCCCCGCGGTCGCCGTAGCAACGGGGCAGTTTTTCAGTGAAATTGAGTCATAGAAGCCACAAGATTGGTCAAAAAAAGCAAGGAAAAGGCTATTTTTGTGTGAAATTGAGTGAAAAAGCAAGAAAATAGGCTAATTTTAGGCTGAAATAGTCAAAACAAAAAAAGGGCTTTTTTGTGAAATTAAGTGTAAAAGGCTCATTTTTTGCAGTGACAGGTCAGTTTCTTGGTGAAATTGAGTAAGAATCCATAAGATTGGTCAATTATTTTTTTTAAAAGGCCAGTTTTTGGGTGAAATTGAGTCAAAAAGAAAAAAGGCCAGTTGTTGGGTCTCACCTCTCAAACTCGGCCCTCAGGAGGCGCTCCCTCTCCAGGATGGCAACGTGCAGGCGGCCCCACTCCTTCTCCACGTCCAGCGGGTGGTAGCCGGGGGGAACCTTGACCTGGCCGGCCTGGACGGCGCCCTGAAAGACACGAGCGCGAAGAACAAACGCGTCAGCGGCGCCCGGCGAGCAGTAGCGTCCAGCAAGTGGTGGCGTCCGTCACCTCAAAGGACTGGAAGATGTGTTTAGAGCGGTTCTTGTCCGCCTCTTTGGCCGGCAGCTCCGTCTCCTTAAATTTCAGGAACTGGCGCCACAGAACCTGCAAATAAGAAAGCGGTCAATGTGGAGGACGATCAGCAGATGTTGTGTTTAACTCATTGGCTGCCAAAGACGTCTATAGACGTCAATTCAAAAACAACCGTTGACTGCCAAAGACGTCTATAGACGTCTTTTATGTTTTTCAACGAGAGTGGCTTGGGGAACGATCTGCTAAAGCTTGTCCGTAAATATCGGCTTCTAGACAGAGTATGTACTAACAAATTGACCCTCTAGGTGGCAGTGCCACTTTTGATGGGAGATGAGCATGGACTGTAGGCAAATAAGAAAAAGGTAACGGTTCGCTATGAGAGAACATGTCGCCGGTGAGACGCAAGTCGAGGAAGAACGGAATAAGGTAGAAACAATTTTTTTTTCCTGGTGAAAGAAGAGAGTCTACTCTTTCTTTTGGTGTGTTCGGTGTTTACATAGTCATTGCACAAACTATTCTGTGGCTCTTGAAAAATCTGTCAAAATGCTAAAAAAACTCTGGCAGTATGGGACTCTCTGTTCTGAAAATGGCTGGCAGTCAATGAGTTAATGGCAGCAGGAGGTTTCAGCTCTCACCTCGATCTCCTCGTAGCTGGAGGGGAACTTCCTCTCCTCAAACACCAGGATGTGGTGTCTGATCCACTGCAGCAGCAGAGTCACCAGCTCGTAGAACTCCTGCCAGCGCAGCTCCAGCTCCTGCTGGGAGAAAGGCGTGAGAGGAACCCAGCCAGGAGCCGGGAACCAACAGACGGGAACCAACAGACGGGAACCAACAGACAAGAACCAAAAGAAAGGAACCAACAGACAAGAACCAAAAGAAAGGACCCAACAGATGGGAAATAATGGACGGGAACCAACAGACAGGAATTAAAGATAGGAACAAACAGCTAGGAACCAAAATATAAGAGCCAACAGACAGGAACCAACAGACGGGAACCAAAAGAATTGAGCCAACAGACAGGAACCAACAGACAGGGACCCAAAGATAGGAACCTAAAGAGTTGAGCCAACAGACAGGAACTTAAAGATAGGAACCAACAGACAGGAACCAACAGCTGGGACAGAGAAAGGGGGTCAGAGGAGAACCCAGACTGTTCCAGAAAAGTGCAGAACTTTAAAGTAGGGTTTAAAGCAGTGAAGGAAGCTGCAGATGAAGGTTTGAAGCCCGTTTGATGCCGGTTCACACTGTGACTCACGTTGGCTCTGACTCCGTCCTGGACGTCTGGCACTCGGGGCATGGCGTCGTACAGAGAGGAGACGTATGTGATGATGGACTTCTCATCCGGGTGGGGAACGTCCACATCTGGAAAGCAGAATAAACAGTCACAGCCGAGGAAAGAAGAGGAAAAGAAAGGAACCCAGACATCAAGTAATCCTGGTGGGGCTCATAACTGCGATTGAATTACAACTCAATTATACAGCAGATCCTCTATTTACGATCGCCTAAACATAGGAATTTTCCAACATCCAAAGTGTTACATATTGCATGCATTTCTTTTATTGCTATGTGTAATTGCAGAGGAGGGGCCACCTTTAGCCGTGTCTGGCATATGGCGGACATATTTAAAGCCGCCATATTGAATCGTGGTCAAGTTTTTCCAAAGGGAAGGGGGTCATGTAGCGTATCAAAAAAGCTAATGTGTGTCAGAAATTGATTGGTGCTGTCAATTTAGCAATCAATCAAATCAATCAATCAATCAAAATCCACCCCAGAAAAAAAAGGTGTGCTCGCCTTCTGGGTCCAGCAGCCTGGTGACGCCCAGGTCTCTCTCTGCCACGCTGAAGGCCTGCTCCAGGTTCTCCTGGTTGGTCTGACGGTACACCTGGCTCATGTCGATCAGCGTGGGCCTGCAGCCAGAGGAGGCGTCGCACTGTTAGAGTGGCTCAGTCGGGTTTCTGCCTCCAACATACAGCCTCAGGCCTATTTCAGGGGGGCTTCAGCCACCCTGAAACCCTCCAAGCCCCACAAGGCTTTGCTTAATAGAGCAAAATCATGTTTTTATAGGAGAAAAATGCAGCTTTTAACCGGTTATACACAAGCTCCCACACTAAACTTAATGTTACGGCTTGATCTGAAATTAAATCTGAATACTAAAATAACCAGAAAACTGCACTTGACTGATAGATTTCTTCCCTAGATGACGCTTTAAAAACCCAGAAACCGAGCTGATGCCATGCAGGACACAAAGGATAAAAATATTCTATTCAAAGGCTGAAACCAGACAAAAATCATTAGAAAGTGGTAAAACTGAGATCCAGTTCTGCATCCTAAAGGCTGAAGTTGTTCCAATTCCCTTCCTGAGTCTAAAAATGACCAGAAAACTGCATTTGATTGATAGATTTTTTCCCTAGTTGACAACCAGAAACAGAGCTGATGCATTGCATGACAAAAAAAAGGATGAAAATGTTCCTTTTAAAGGCTGAAACCAGACAAAAACCATTAAATCAGATCCAGTTGTGCATCCTAAAGGTTGAAGTCGCTGCCTAACGCGGGGTGCATTTCTCTTCAAAAGCAGCCAGAACATGCAGGAACAAGCACAGAGCAGCTTCCCAATAACTGTCAGCGGACTCAAACAAAAACAGAGAAGGCATTTGGAGCTCCTACACTCGCACGGCTCGCCCCGGTTCTGTGCAGGCTGGTCTGATCCCGCTCAGGTGAGGGGGGCCCCGGATGGAGGTCCGGCTGGAGGCCCGACTGGAGGCTTGGCTGGAGCCCCCCTCCAGGCTGTGGGAGCTCAGGCCCCAGTCGGAGGAGCCCTGGACGGGGATTTCCTCGCAGGTCATGATGACCCGGTCCTCCAGGTCTCCGACGGAGCCGGCGGCGCTGCTGGAGCTGCTGCCCAGGCGCCTCCTGGAGTGGAGCTTCCTCCTCAGCTTGTGCATGGCCGGGCGGGCGAAAAGCAAAAAGCTTGAGCCTGCGGGGCCTGAAAACGGGAGGCCCGGCTCCTCTGCACGTCCCTCCCTGGAAGGAATCTGTGGTGGAGCCTGGCTGGCGCAGCAGCGTTTTGCTAAGACCTGCCAAGCCCGCGGTGAGCCGCCCTCCAGGCTAAGGTTTTTCCTCGAATCAGAGCGAGGCGCCCGGGCTGTGCTGGAAAACTCCCACTCTGAAGGCAGAGCGGTGCCAGCCCAGCCTGGCCTGGCCCGGCCCAGTTCGGATCGGCGCCGCCCAGAGCTCCAGCCGGCCTCCAGCTGCCTTACTGGGAGGCTCCTCAGCACATTTCCTCCCAGGAGGGGAAAGGATCCTCAGCCTGGACTCTGGAAAAACCCACTCAAGAAGGGTTCTGGGCAACTCTGCAGCAGAATTAGAATCTCTGACATCTGTCTGAGAGCTTTGGGGCTCCTCCCAAATCTGAAAACACCACGTATTAAAGCTGACTGCTGTTTACAGCCCCCTTTAAGCAGAGTCTGCTCCCACAATTAGCCTCTCGGATCACACAAACATTCCTTCACACTCAATCTTCTGTTTATTCTGGCTTCCACTTTCCATGACTAATCCTCTCACCGACTCCTCTGCCAGCAAGACGACAGCCGTTTGTCCTTTTCTCCATTAAAAAACAGACTTTTGTTGCAAAATAGCCCAAAAATAGCCCAAATGTGATCTTTTTAGGTCAAGCTGATGCACATCCGAGCCAGTAAGGAGTTTAAAAAAGTAATTTGCAAAGCATTTCTGTAAAATACTGTTTGTCTAAGTAGAGCTAGGAGTAAAAAACTAAGGAAATAGAGAAAGATTTCCCAAAAAGTTGCTATAAATACTGAATCTTTTGCCTTTTCATCCTGTTAGATGTACATTATCTGCATATTATAACAGTAAATACAGAATATATATTATTGATTAGTGGAATATTTACAAATCACTGTTAATGACCCATTAATGATGGTCTGGGGTATGAGTAAGCAAGCTTTGAGGCCCCTTTCCATTTATAGGATTTTAACAGCTCTGAATTACATTTTCTGAGCCAAGTCAACTCTTTAAATATTTACCAGTGTCTCTGGCCAGCCTGGAGGCACATTAGGATGACTAAAAGGATAATTTTAATCAGGATTTCTAGGGAATGATGCCAAATAATCACATTGGGTATCCCAAAAGGCAACCAGAAAGATTCTTTCAGTCAAATTATCTCAATAACTTTTTTTTTTTTTTTTTTTTAAAGATATGCTTCATAAAGGTTGCCCTTTGTTTCCACAGTGGGCGCAAATAACAGACTGAAAGGACGTGCCAGCTGGGTTTACCACACTGATGTCCAACGGCCGATTCTGTGGTTAAAAAATCTGGATTTTATTAGGGCAGAGTGACGGTTTCCACTAGGCTTTAGTTCCTCTTCATGTGAATTTGGTTACCAACATGTTCTCCTGCATCTCCAAAGTCGGACTCTGCTTTGTTTTCTCCAATTAAAATGTGCCGACTGCTCATTTAATGCAGTCAGGGCGAACAGGAAGGCAGTCGGGAAGCAGAGGAAGAAAAACGCTGAGTCATGCTCTGTGCTTGGAGGGCCAACATCTGCAAATGAGGGCTCTGGATGAACACCAACACTAAGCAGTAGGACAATAAAAGTCCTCACCAATAAGGACACTGAACCCACACTGATGGGAAGGCAGAGAGCTTGGATCCAGATGTTCCAAGAGAGCAGCTTCTGGGCTCCACCAGGACTAACAAACCTGGACTTATCAGTCTGATTTATGAAGGTCGTTCCACATTTTGTCCCGACAGGTCGGCTGAAACGCTAAAAATTTCAGTTATGAATCTGACATTTTTGCTTCTGAACCTCCTGCAATAAATCAGAGAAAAAGGCAAAAAGGCCCAGATGTGAAATATGCAAAAGGTGGCAGAGGTGACCTTTGGATTGTGGGTGGAAGTCGTGTCCAGGCAGGTTTTTCTACCTGGAAATGCATCTCTGCTGGAACAAAAATCTTCTGTGCAGCAAGTCACACATTTTCTGAAGCTTCCAGAGTTTCTCTGCTTCTTCTCTGGTTTTCAGTCCGTTAGCTGAGCGTTTTCAGAGGAATGCGTTCAGTCACTAAACCTTCAGGTTCCGATTCTGTTCGGTTGCATGTTCTAGTTTTTTCTGCATGTTCTGCTTTCTGTGCAGGTTCTGGTTTCTCTCCTGCTTCTGCTGCATGTTCTGGTTCTAGTTCTGTTTGGTCGCATGTTCTGGTTTCACTGCAGGTTCTGTTGCAGGTTCTAGGTTATATCTGCGGGTTCTGGTTTTAGCTCAGTTGCAGGTTCTGGTTCTAGTTTGGTTGCAGGTTCTAGGTTTTATCTGCAGGTTCTAGTTCTGTTGCAGGTTCTACTTCTAATTAGGTTTCAGGTTGTCATTCTGCAGCAGGGTTTGGTTCTGCTGCAGGGTCTGGTTTCTCTCCAGGTTTTGCTGCAGCTTCTGGTTCTAATTTGGTTTCAGGTTCTGGTTTCTCTCCAGGTTCTGGTTTGTCTA